TGACTTACCACACCCTCAAAGAGCTCTCCAGACCTCTTCCTAATGTCAGCATTTCTACTTGTTTTTTTGTTTGTTTTTTAAGATTTTATTAGAAAGAGAATGAGAGAGAGAGAGCATGAGAGGGAGGAAGGTCAGAGGGAGAAGCAGACTCCCTGCAGAGCAGGGAGCCCGATGCGGAACTCGATCCCGGGATCATGACCTGAGCCGAAGGCAGACGCTTCACCAACTGAGCCACCCAGGCGCCGTGTTTGTTTTTAAACTAGAGGAAGTATATCTTTTAGTGAACGCTTATCTAAACCCTCCTTTTGCTTGTGAGGAGGCCTGGCCAGGCTGTGAGGTCCGCCTGGAGGCTGAGCCTGCAGCGAGTCTGCACCCCCGGGCCCCACACTGGAGCCGGCCCCGGCCTCAGGTGGCCGCCCCACAGCCTGGGAGCTGCCCTGCCGTGCTCACGTGTCCCTCTGTGCGGCTCAGCTACAGCTGTTATTAATTTAGAAGAGCTTGAGGTTTAAAAATCAACCGGCACTTTCCATTTAAAACACTTAGGTATACATTTTCTCATACACACTGTTTGGCTGAAATTAGAAACTGTCTGTAAGCCTAAACCAGGCCGAGCCCAGCACTTGGTCAGAACAGCTTGGTGTTTGGACGCGATCTTGCTCTGTCGGCATCTCTCACATGTGGGTCTGGGAGCACTGGCAGCAGAGGCTGATCTTCGCACTGGCCCTTTAGAAGCTGTGACACGTCTTTGTCCCTACAAGACCTCCTTCTTGGGGCTGATTGGGTTCTGTCCACCGAGTACTCATGTCCTCAGGAAGGTCCTGTTCTCTGAAGCCCTGGGTTCTGCCCCCCACAGCGCTAGCCCTGCCCCTCTGTCCTGGGAGGCTCCACGTGGGACACGGCAGGACTCGCATCTGAGCTCAGCATCAGCCCGGGTGTCTGTTTCTACACCAAGCACGGTGGGAGGAGGGAGAGATGTGTCTCAGACACTGGCCCCAGAGCCCACAGGCTCACTGCCATCCCCCAGCCCTACAGTCCGCTCCCCGGAGAGCAGACTTCAGAGTCAGGTGTGTGTTCAGGTATCAGTTCTGCTGCGAGGAACAGGAAGACAGATTTTTCTACAATATTAAGCGGAGGGGAAAGCCAACCCTACCTTAGAGTTGCAAGCCTAGAAATCTTTGAAATCCCACTTCATCTCCCTCTTTGAGAGAGAATACCTTTGACTCTAAAATGGCATGTGATCTCCACATGAAGCTGGCTTGGCAGAGCATGCTCCCCAAGACCCTGTTAGCCAGGGTGGCCAGGCACACTTTTGGGGGAGACTGACAGGAAGGTCATGGGGGGCCCCCAGTGGCCCTGCTCCTGACATGCAGATGGGCAGGAGCCATTGGGCGGCCAGTGTGAGGATGGACACCATGGCAGGGGCCTGCCCAGGGGCCGCAGTTCGAAGGGCTTTTAAGGCCAAATGCTAAAACTCCAGAGAACAGCAGTAAGCATCCCGGCAGGCAGCACCGGTCGTCAGGGCGAGCATCACCTTGGTGAGTTGCAAGGAACACTGCAGAGCATGTGTGACTGGCCTTCTCAGGCCACCCAGCTCTCGAGAACAGGACAGACGGAGGGGCCACCCCAGAGCAGAGGGGTCTAGGGAGGCAGTGTGGCCAAAGGCTGGAGAGCCCTGGGGGACAAACAGGTGAAATCAGGATGAAGCTCTTCTCTAACCTGCTAACACTGAGGGGTAGAGGGTTGGGCACATGAGGGCCGTGGGGCAGTGGAAAGGTCTAGAACAGGCAGCACCAGTGAACACAGGAGGCAGGAGTGGGCTGGCCAGGTCTGAGACCCCAGAGGTGCTCCCGCAGGACCAGCCAAGAGGGGCCCTGGCTGTGTGCAAGATGGAAATCAAACGTGAGCCAGCCAGCAGGAGGTGAGAGCGGAGTTTACTGAACTTACAGCTGGGAGACGTGGAAAGGAAGGGAGGGAGTCTCATCTTTGTTTGGGGCCTGGCGGTTTTTACTGAGGACGGTGGTCTGGTGTACATGTCCCCTCAGGCATCCAGGAAGCGTGAGAACAAAGACGAGGGCCCAGGTGTTACTCCTCAGGGCCAGGATGCCTTGGCGTCGAGGTGTCTGGCACTGGAGGTCTGGAATACCCGTGCGATGGCTTCCAGTCCTCACCTGGTCCTGCCTTTGATGGCGGTCTCTTCTAGAGAAACCGCTGAGTCCTGGTCCCGTACAAGCAGGGCAGACAGCAGCTGCGTTGAGGCCTGTATAAACTGGGGGCGCAGGTCCTAACACCAGAAGCAGCAAGACAAGGAGCCCGGAGCAGGTTTTTGTGGAGCCTTCCGTTTCCCTGTCTCAGCCAGGGCGCCGTGAGGCCGAACTACTGGGGCACCCGCCACCTGAGGCCCTTCATGAGGGCTCCTGGCTTCTGTTCCTTCACCTGATTTTCCTGTACCCGCTTCCTCGCCCACAGGAGAAGTACCCAGCAGCCGTGCACCTCCCGGAGGGGGCCGCTTCCAGCTGCATGGCGGTCCGGAGCACCTGCCAGCCAGGGTGAGTGCGGATGCCCTGCAGGCCCAGCCTCCCCAACACGCAGACGGCGGCTTGCTGTTCAAAACGAGGCTTACAAATGGTAGACAACGAAAGGCAGCTACGTTCCGGACACCTTGAAGTGTCTGTGAGCCGTGTTGGCTCTGCAGCTGTGGGGAGGAGAGCAGGTTGTGGGACATGGGGAAACGGCCAGGGCTGCTGGGCTCACTGCAGGGCTGGAGGGAGCCAAGGGGAGGCCGGGAAGCAGCAAGCACTGGGTGAAGGGAGGACTCACTGGGCTGTGTGTGTGCACGGTCTGCATCAGAATGCCTAAAGTGCTTTGTTTTCAAATCTTAAAATGGTGCTGTAATTCTGTAGGCCTCTCAGACTTGCCTTTGTTACTCAACATTATATCCGAAGTGAGCTTCTGGTTATGTGCGTAGCTGTATGTAGTTCATTCATTCTCGGTGGTTCTACTCCATCAGCTGTATTTCTGCTTTCTTCGGGTCTTGGGCACTTGGGTCATCCATCGTTTTCCACTATTTCTCACGCTCCTGTCCATGTCCCCGGACACTCGAGGACCCAGGCTTCTGTGGCTGGAAGTGAAATTCCTGGGTCATGGTGTGGATTCAGCCTCCCATCACTGCCAAAGCTTTTCAGACTACTTTATCACAGTTCAGGTTCCGCACTGGCAGGTTTTCTGCATCCTGTACGTCACCCGCACGGCCACACCACCACACTGTGGGTACAGAACAGCATCTTGCTGGGTCTTGGGGTCCATTTCCCTCTTCGTTCATGTCCCACGTGCTTCCCTGAGCAGACGTGGCCTGTGTCCATGGCCAGACGTCTTCAGGAGCACCTCCTCAGGGAGGGTGACAGGTGCCACACAGTTCACACTTCCCACCCGATTTGAAACAGCACTTAGGAACGCATCTTACCTCTTTCAGGTTCGAGCTGGTCATTGTCTGGAGGGTGCAGATAGATGAAGAAGGGAAGGTTTTGCCGAAGCTGGACCTTCTACCCAAAGCGCCACAGCAAGGTAGGGGCCCCCAGGGTGGGGGTGTGAGGACTTCTTACTGTGCCCAACAGACGTCTGCTTCTGTCATCTGGTTTTCGTAGCAAGAATCAAAAGTTGAGAATCTCACTGTATCGTTTTTATCAGTTTATCAGGAATCAGAAAGCAGAGGCGCGGAGGGACTGTTCTGTCCCCACCTCTGGCCTGTGGGCCCATGCCCACGGTCACGACAGTTTGGGAAGGAGGGAAGGTCTCGGTGTAGAGTCTCAGCCGGCTTGCTCTCCCTGCAGCCCTGAAGCTGGACCGGAACCGAGTCCTGGAGACCGCGCCTCTCAGCTTCCGAGCCCTGCTGGGCACACTGGGCATTGAAGCCGCCCTCGAGAGCCTGATAAAGTCGCTCTGCACAGCGGACTACGACTAGTTCCAGGCAAACACGCAGGTGTGTGATCTTCTTCCACATAAACAGTTTCTGTGTTCCACAGAGAAACAACACCTTTAGGACACGTCTGTGCAGTTTCAGCACATCCTATATAAACTGTCGGGACATGGAAAAATAAACAGCTATTGGAATACAAAATGTCCGACGAGCAGCACATACAGTGCTTAGGAGGGCCTGGCGGGCTTGGTTGGGGGAGTGTGCAACTCTTGATCTCAGGGTCATGAGTTTGAGCCCAACACTGGGGGCATGGATTACTTAAAAAAAAAAAAAAAACTTTCTCAGAAGTTAAGGTTATTATTTTTCTTTTAATAATAGGAGTGAGTGTCCATCCTTGGATTGGGGGGAGCGGCTGGTCCTACCTCTCACCAAGTCTGAGGGTGGAGGCGTCCTGTGTCCTAGAGATTGGCCCTCCCCTTGCCACCCGAGGGCCCCACTCCTTAACATTCCTGACCGGGGTGACGCACCGCCCACCTTGCCACCCTGCCCTGTAGAGCAGAACTCACTCTTCTTGGCCTTCACATGGAAGTGGAGCAGTCAGCTTAAAAAATGCAGTAATATAGACTTGACCCCCACCCCCACCCCTTGGGCAGCACTGGCCTCAGCTGCCCCATTTAAAAGGTTAGAATCGGTAGAAACATTGCTTGAAACCACAGTCTGGGAAGGGGCCACACTGGAGGGTGAGGCGGAGGCCACACGGGGCAGGACCGCGTCGGTCCGCATGCCCCCCCGCCCCCCCTCCCGTGGATGCTGGTGCTTCAGCCAGGACGGGCCTGGGAGGTGGCCTGACCCACCTCCTGGCAGGGCCGGGGTCCTGTGCACACCCATCCTCACGTAGGCCAGCAACAAGGAACGACCTCAGGCCAAAACAACACAGATGCTTCCACACGTGTCCCTGCGAGGGGCGTCTCCACAGCCCCCCAATGCACGCAGACGAGACACGTGTCATTGGAGTATCTTTCTGAACCTCCGAGTGTGCAAAAAGCAAATGTTAGGACAAAGCTGAATAAATTCTAGGAGAGCTGGCTTGATTCAAACAAGTATAATTCTCAAGTTATCACAAAATTCCCCACAAAAATTTACAATCAATCAGCAAAATATTCTTATTTTTCACGTAGCATTTTCATACAATTTCGTGGTTTTGCTATTATAATCTTATGTTACAATAAACCTTCATTAGTCCCTCAAAACAATGATATAAATAATCTGTACAACCTACCATAGAATAAAAAACTGAAGCCAAGATTCCCCACAGTTTTCTTAGCAGCTGGGCACACCTACGGTGACCCCAACGAGAACCCTCTTGGTGCCAGCCAGAAGTCGCTCATCCTGTGGGAGCACGCCACGCTGGCGCCTTCCCCAAACACACACCCAGAATGCCTGGCGCACGGCCGCCCTGACACCAGCTCCGCAGCAGCAACTGCACGTGGCAAGGAACGCCTCGTCTCCCCTAAAGTCAAAGATAAAATCATTCAGCTAAAAAGAAAGTCAGCACTCGAGTGAGTGGTGTCCACCCCTGACCTGAGTCCCGTGCTCCCTGATGACCCTGTGCAGAGCGGTGGCCGTGGCACCTCCACAGAGACCCCGAGTCCACGCAGCTCAGGACCCACATCCGCACCAGCCACCCATCGCTCTCTGCAGCAGAGAGCCCACTAAACCTGTGCTGCCTGGTGGCTCGCACGGAAAAAGTGACCACATAACTCAGCTGGGAAAGTTCCAGTAGTATCCATGTTTTCCTTCAAGTCCAAACTGTAAGATGTACGCGACAATTCAAGTTTTCTATGTTAGAGTCTGGTGGTAGGAGATCCAAACCTTGGGTCTTAAGGCTTTTACGTCAGAGATTAGACATGAGCCCTGGGTGGGGAGGAGGCGCGGCCCAGAGCGGAAGGTGTGGGGACACCACACACAGCAGCACTCACGCCCAGCGCTCCTCGTCCTCGAAGGTGTTTCTGGTGGCCTTCCATTCGGGGTCACCCAGATGCAGCCCCACCTGAACACGGGTTAAAAAGCAAAAACATTCACAGCCAAAGGTCACCCAACACAACAGAAAAGAGCTCTCTCATTCAACCTTCACATTCTGTGTTCAAGTTTCAAAGACCCCGCAGGAAGCGCCTAGACCTTATGGAGAACTAACGTGCAGTCCTCACTCTCCTTGAACCTGGTCGACATCACAGCTGCGTCTTTGGCGTGTACAGTCTTTGAATAGAAGTTGACTATCTTGCCGTCCAGTTTGTACTGGTGAGGAATGCTCTCATACGGCTTGAGGTCGAGGTCCAGCACAGACACGGAGAAAGCAAACCTGGATCTCGACGAAGGGACGACAGGCCTTTGATCGGAGCTGGAAGTGAAAGAGCAGCTTCAGGACACATGAACCCCAAATACCCAAATCCTCACCCTGCGCAGGGCGTGCACCCCGCCTAGGCCCGCCGTGACAGCCGCCACCACACGGACGGGAGGGCTGGCAGGTGTCCCCTAGTCCCTGGGGGCACTTGACCAGGAATCAGGAATCACTAACCCTGAGAGAAAGGAGAAAGTCGACCTGGCCTTTCCTCAACCCGATGAAGCAGACTTCCCTTCACCCGCCTTTTCCCCCATCTGCTGAGAAGCCTGTGTTCCCTGAGGCTCTTCACGTTTGGAGAGAGAGCTGATTTCATGCTCTAGTCTCAAATCTAATCTGCAGGTTTTGATGTTTTGTTCTTAAGGCTTCATTCTGTGGGTTTTCTAAACATCAGAACAGTTATGTGCTTATAACAGAAAATGAACAATTATCTGTACTAAAACCAACCACTCTGAGGCTAATTCTGAATTTTCTATTAAAATTGCTGTGTATCCATCCCACTCAGCTCTCAGAGTGCTTGGTAATATTTCACATCCAACAACTGGTTAAATATATGATATTTAGTTTAGCCCAAGAAAAATACTCACGAGTCCCAGTTTCCCCACGCTTACTACTCTTCTAGATTTAGAAAGCATCCCAAAACAACACGAATTTTAAAAGCTCCTGCCTGGGAAGGGAAGACCAATCAACATGCTCCCGTTGTGATGAAGCTAATCAAGGCCGAGACTCTCACTTCACTCCTGCCCCAAAATACCCTCCCTCTCTCTAGGGAAAACGGAGCCCTGGCTCAGCTGCTAGGTCATAGCTACTCCCTCCCGAACAGTAGTGAAGGTCCCGCTTCTGAGGCCTGAGCTCCAGGCAGCAGGGCCGGGACAGCACCTCTCTGGCCCCCAGCAGGCTTCCCCCACCGAGCCGGCACCTGACAAGGTGACGTGCACACAGAGGGGCATCGCTCGGCACACGGGCTGCCTGTGTGCCCACCACAAGCTCCCATGAGCCCAGGGCGCAGCTCCGAAGCTGAAACGCTTCTGCACCGCGCCACGGGGCTCCCGGGCCATGCACCCCCACCCCGCCCCATCTGCGCCTGCCAAGCAGCCGGCCAGCCCTGCACATTCCTGAGTGCGTGCCTGTTTCAGGAAGGGCAGTGGGTGACATCCGCATGCTTCTGCCATGGGACAAGGCCAGCTCAATCCAGTGAACACGCACTGCAGGCACTTCCTCATGGGATCACAGGGGTCCTCAACTAAACAGAAGAGTCTTTTTGTATTTCAGTTGCACCCTACGAACATCCCTCCGTGTTTCCTATCCGCTCCGTGCCTGCCAGGGAGCAGCAGTCCTGGGAATGTTTAGTTCAAAAGCATCTGAAAAACGGGTGGCTGGCAGCCAACGATAAGGTCATCTTGACCCGGGAACACATGTCAGAAGAATGTGGAACATTCCACAAACACTGTGTGTGGGGTTTGGCACCCTGAGGATCAATGCTGAAGATGCCATCTAATTAGCAAGAGAAGATTATCAGGTTCATCCTGAATTCCTAAAAAAAGGCAGGGGAGGGGACCGGACAAGGGTAATAATGTCCAGGGAGAGCGGCTGCCAACAGGACAGGAAGCGCAACAGCGGACATGCTGTCCCACTGGCGCACGAGGGTCGGGACCTTGGTGGGGGATCTGCAGCTTCTCAGGCCTCCAAGCCTCGGTGGGCACGTGGGGCCTTGAGAGAAAGGAATTTGTACCAGGATCCAAGCTGCTTCTAAGTCTTTGGAGTATTTTCTTAGAAAATCATAGTAATCTTTAACAGGACAGTCTTTTTAAGTTATTCTCTGTAAATGTCTTTCCAACTGAATCACACACTTCTAGAGAGCAGTGGGAGTCAGCAAGCCGTGGCGGGTTACTAGGTGTCATGCGGGCCACGGGCATCAGCCTGTCAGCAGACGTGGCCCTGCAGGGACACGGGCATGGGCGTGCAGCAGGCAGCTCACCTCGAGTCCTGCAGGCAGGGGGAGAGCGCGATCATGATGGAGCAGTCCTTCGCAGTCATGGCCACCCGGTACTGCTGAACCTGCGGGGACGGAGAGGTCAGCTCCAGGGCCACACCCCCACCACACGCACCCGGCACAGTCCAGGAACCGGCTACAGACCCAGGGGTGAGTGAGAAAGCCCCGGGCCAGCCCGGCCCTGACCTCTCACTGCAGGTAGCATGCAGACCCCGACTCCAAACGTTAGGATGCAGGCTCGTCTGCCACAAAGCAGCCAGTCTGCCAGCTTGGACTTTCGCTACCTGGGCTACCAGGGTGCTGGGCACCCTGACGGTGCTGGGCCAGCTCTGCTCCACACACACCCAGCGAGGCCTGCTCGGATCACACCGCCACCACGAAGGACGCTGCGTGGATGGAGGGCTGCCAGGCTCCGTGTGGGCTCGCTTCATCCCCACAGTGACCCAGAGCCGGCCTGCTCAGCACTACCCGGTGACGGCAAGCCTGGGTTCAAACCCAGGCACTGTGGCTCTCAACACCAGGCTTGAGCACGTGCGCGCACCAGCCCACAGACACATCCGCCAGGGCCGCCGACGCAAACCACACACGGCGTGCTCTGGGGGACCCGACTCATGAGGCCGTGGGTGCCCACCTGCACGGCAGACACAGAGAGGTTCTGGAAAGCGTCACCTTGGTGTAGGGTCTGGGGCATCTTCCCCCTTCTTTGACGGTTCACGTTATTATTTGAATTTTTTAGATTGAATAGCTCTCACGTTTACAAAAATAAACTAATCACAAAAAAGGCAGTGGGCCTTACAGGTTGTCGCTGCCCCCATCATCATACGCTGACAGATCAGTCTCACCTTCCCTGTGGCCGCTTCCTCTGAGTGCCACCCCAAGAAAACGTCCAGTTCCCACCTTCCCCGCGCACAACTGCGCAAGGTGCCTCAGGCCAGCTGGTGGCTCTTTTGAGGCTCGCAAAACCTCTTCTACACTTGGTGTGTTTGGCTAAGAAATCAGGTATTTCACAAAACACACAAAAAATTCGGTTCAAACAAATTAAGGAGATAAACATAAAAAAGTATAAAATATTTGTGTCCTCATTACAAGACAAGTCAGAAAAGACTGACAGATCTGAATTCCCAAGGATGAAAAGTATCTATGTAACACCGGCTAAAACCAATGTGGGAGACGGAGAGTGGCAGCAATCACGGTCAGCCAGCACCAAGGCGTCAAGTGCGAGATCTGTCTGGAGGAGGGTACTTCCCAACAGAGGTGTGAAACCCGATAAACAGACAAAAGAAAATAGCCAATAAATATATGAAAAGATGCCAAACCTTACTAATTATCAAGGAAATGCAAATTATACCAAACATTTTTCACTCATTAGATGCACACAACTACCCATAAAATCAGACACAAGATGGAAGGGCCAGACTCTCACTTCGAGTAATGCCGGACTGTGTGATGGGGGGCCAACCCGACTACAGAGGTCCACCCGAGGAAGCTAGACAAAATACCAAAACCATCTGCTACAAGGCAGTGTGAACAGGAGCAGGGCGAGTGGCTGGACCAGTGGGGAGACAGACATTTGGGTCTTTTCTGCCCTGAGGCAGGGTTGACGGTTCCAGAGGGCTGGCTGAGAGCTACTCTTCTCACCAAACTCCAGGGCTACGGGGACAGTAATCGTGTGAACCCCCTCTTCGGGTTAGCACCCAAAGCTGCACCTGAAGACTGAGGGAGTCACAGGCTGACAGCCTTCCCGGACCTGCAGCCCTGCTTCAAAGAGATCAGTCACCAAAACTGGGGTCAGAGGACCCCAACTTGCTAGGGCTTCCCTGTCCCCCAGCAGAAGCAAACCCAAGATCCTCCCTGGAAGAAGACATTATACTAGGCCTTGCATTATTTCTAAAATAATTGTAAAATATAGTGACTGACACGTAAGTTAAAATATCCAGGTACAACACAGCATCACCTAAGTGAAAACCTGCAAGAAACCCCAGTCCCAGGTCAGCGGAGACAAACACAAACTCCAACTACTGCAGGTACCAGACAGACATGCTGCTCTGTTCAAGGATAAAAGACAAAATCAAGAATGTGACGAGAGCTGGAGGCTATAAAAATAAACGATATGTAAATTCTAGAACTGAAAAAAATACAAAAATCAATATTAAGAATTCAAGAGATAGTTTTAACAGATTAGAAGAAACTCAAAGAGACTTGCTACAATGGAAGATAGGTCGAAGTTGAAATATCCAGAATGAAGCATGGAAAGTAAGACAGCTAGAAAATACCAAGGAAACAGGCAGAAATCAAATCTGAAGGTGTTAAGGCCAAATTATTTTCCAAAACTGAGGAAAGACATCAAGCCACAAACTCAAGAATGACTCCAAAAAACCACAATCAGTTATACACATCACCAAACAAACACTTAAGGATGAGTCACCAGCAGACCCACACAAAGGAAACGTTAAAGGGTATTCTTCAGACAACAAAATCATCCTAGATACAAGCTCCAGAATGTAGGGCAGAATGAAGAGCAACCTAAGAGAAGCATCTGTGGGTAAAAGGAAACTGATTGTATAAAATGGTAATAGCATCTCCTTGAGTTTAAAACAACAGAATACAGAGGGCGCCTGGGTGGCTCAGTCATTAGGCGTCTGCCTTTGGCTCGGGTCATGATCCCAGGGTCCTGGGATCGAGCCCCGCATCGGGCTGCTGCTCAGTAGGGGGTCTGCTTCTCCCTTCCCAGCTCCCTCTGCTTGTGGTCCTGCTCTCGCTGTGTCTCCCTCTGTCAAATAAGTAAATAAAATCTTAAAAAAAAAAAAAACCCACAATAGAATACACAGCAATAGGATTTAAGTCAGGACGAGAGTAAAATATACTAAGAATTTTGTGCTGTCCAAAAAGAGAGTGAAGGTACTAGACGTTAGACTTTCATAAGTCAACTGCTTGCTGCAAAGGTCAGGATAACAACCAAGAGAAAAGCAAAAGACTCTGTAACTTCCAACAGAGTGGGGAAATTGAATGATAAAAATATAACCCAAAAGATTCTGAAAGAGGAGAGGAAAAGAAACCTAATAAAACAGGTGGTAAAGGATTAAACCTAACTATACGTCCACAAAACATCAGAAAGGATAGAAAACCAAACCTACTTTAACTGCAAAGGCATAGCAAGATTAAAAACAAAAGAACAGAAAAAGATATACAGTGCAAGTATTAACCAAAAGAACCTACAGAAGTTACACTAATATCAGAGAAAGGAAACTTTAAGGTAAAAAATATTACCAGAGATAGAACACAGTGAAAATTATAAATGACACTTGAAAATGAAAAATTTGATTTACCAGGTAGGTTTAACAATTTTAAGGCCCCTGACAATATAGCTTCAAAATAAGTAACACAATTCCATACTTGCTATGTAAAATTTCCAAACATCCTTCTTATGAAAGAAGCAGACAGTAAAATAAGGTTATAGAAGATCTGAAAACAATCTGACCTAATGGGAAGATATAAAACATTGCACCCAACAATTTGAGAAGATACTTTCTTTTTTACAGAAGCCTTTTTCAAATAAAATCTATAAAGCAAATCATAATGGATTTCAAAGGATCAAAAGCCAATCTCAACAAATTTCAAAGGACCATATGGGCTGTGTTCTCTGACCATAATGCAATGTTGTTAGTAATCAGTACAAAAAAATAATGAGAATCTCCATGTGTTTGGTAATTGATTCCCTTCTAAATACTTACATGGGTCAAAGGAGAAATCTTCATAGTAATCAGAGCATATATTTTAAATGAATGGTGTTGAAAATACAGCTGTGGAATGTAGCTAAACCATGTTTATGAAAAAATATATAGTGTTAAATACACATTTTAGAAAAAAATTCTAAAACTTAATTAGATAAGCATATCAGAAGTTACAGGAAGAACAAATTATCCAAACAAGAAGAAAGGGAAAAAAACAGAAATTACTGAAATAGGAAAGAATCATATAGTACACTAAAGGATCCTAAGTTAATTTTTAATAAAACAAACAAAAACGATTAAGTCTTTGTGGGATGGATTAAGAAAACAGGTATCAGACATCAGGAATAAAAGAGCATTTTCAGATCTTAGAGAACATTAAAAGATAAAAGAATATTATCAAAAAACTATATACAAAAATTTTGAAAATTTTAGATGATGTTTTAGAAAGATGTTACTAAAACGGACAAAAGAAGAAAATCTGAAATTTTTTTAAACATTTTTTATAAGATTTTATTTATTTGAGAGAGAGCATGCACAGGGGCAGAGCGGGGGAGAGAGAGAGAGAGAAGCAGACTCCCACGCTGAGCAGGGAACGCTATGCAGGGCTCAATCCCAGGACCCTGGGGTCATGACCTGAGTCGAAGGCAGACGCTTAACTGACTAAGCCACCCGCCCTGAAAATCTGAAATTGAGATCCTAACTTAAAATTTTTCTTCACAGACAATTATCAGCCCAGATGGTTTCACCTGTGGTTCTACAAAACATTTAAGGAAAAAATAATACAATCCTTACTTCACCTCTTCCAGAGAACCAGAAAATGAGCAAACATTCTTCAAATTTTTATGAGGCAGGCGTACCCTTGATACCAAGACCTAACAAAGACATTACAAAAAACTCACATCACTCATAAACATATATGCAAAAGAAACCCTAACCAAAATATTAGCAAGTCAGATATATAATAAATCACTGTAAAAATTGTACAGTTAACCACAGTGACAGAATATAGGAGAAAAGTCATATGATCATCCAATAGAAATAGAAAAAGCACTGATAATTCAACATCTCCTGAGAAAAACTTTTTTTTTTTTTAAGATTTTATTTATTTATTTATTTGAGAGAGAGAGAATGAGAGACAGCACGAGAGGGAAGAGGGTCAGAGGGAACAGCAGACCCCCTGCTGAGCAGGGAGCCCGATGTGGGACTCGACCCCGGGACTCCAGGATCATGACCTGAGCCGAAGGCAGTCGCTTAACCAACTGAGCCACCCAGGCGCCCCTGAGAAAAACTTTTAACAAATTAGGAACAGAATGGAACATTCTTAATTTTTAACT